AATTTTTTAATTGCTGTATAAGATACTGTTCAAAAAATAAAAATACGTTCCCCGAACTCGACTGAAATTAAACAGGGTAAAAACATTTGTTATAATTTTGTATTCGACAAGGTTATATGATTTTTTTTAAAAGGTCAAATTATATTACATGTAGTCTTAATGCGCTGTCCCTGGTGCTTTTTCTACGATAATGGTACATGCACCTGATCACACGATCACGAAATATTTAGAAACAAAACGAATGTTACATTAAATTACTTCGACCACAACACACACTCGTGTATTATATATATTTTCACTCGATAAATAATAAATTGCAACTTACTCGTTTTCCCAAAACCCCGAATGTTAAACATTAATATACACAAGTTCTTATTAGAATTTTCATCGAACACGAATATTATATTCGAGCTACGATTCAGGCGGGGCCCACTGTACTGGATTTATTAACTGAGGGTGAGAGAGATACAGTGGGGGGATAGAGGGCGAAGAGACGTAGAGAAACCCTACTAATTGGAATATTAACTTATATTAACTTGCTAAGGTATTTGTTTACATGCTATTTTCCGTGTACTACTCGTTATTTGGTATGTCGATATAATAAACCATTAGTATAGAGTGGAGGAATCATAGCATTATAATTGCATAGGTATTTGTTTTACACGATCGCACAAACAGTGGAGTATTCGTATTAAAAACTGCAATACTATTTTACTACGAATACGAATAAATAAATAAAATAATATTATTTGTTTAGCAAATCAAAAACATATGATAAATACATAAATATAACGTACAATTATATAAATGCATATTTTTAGGTTTTTTTTATTACTGTTATTATTATTGGTTTTTTCATTCTGTACATTTCAATGCGTATTTCATACTTGCATATGATAAATTAAATTGATATTTGTATTAATGTTTCATTAAGTTGCTTTTATGAATTAATATCACTCATTCGTTGATAGTTACCGGTACGCTACCGTTGACTGTTTACAAACGCACGTTTTTCTTGAAAACGCTCATAAGTCCAACTACCACCTAACCATAGTCCATTAATTTTACGGTGAATGACGACAAATGCTGTATAAAGACGCACAGTTACGTGAAACCATTGTTTTTAATTTAAAAGAAAAATAATGTTCATATTTCAAGCGTATTCTGAGCGTTTTAATGCTTACACGCATGCGCACTTGGTTATTATTTTAAGGCTACAATTCCTCTGCCCCAGTCGTTACACATACAATGTAAAATATCTGAAATACTGTTGGGCGAAACGAATAAATATAACACTACGAATTCAGGTACGCGTATATGATACATAATTATAACACATTGGTTATCTGAACATCTATATGAGTACAGCAAGTTTAAGTACAAGATAGGTTTAGTATAAAAGTAACAGGTACCATTTTTATTTGTTCGAAAAGAACAAAAATGCGCTTTTGAACTATTATCGTCTAAAACTGTTAGCCGTCCTGAGTGCGTACAGATACACAAGTACATCGCCCCGCGGTCTCGTAGCACGTGTGATTAGTTGAACTCTCGTCTCCCGAACGAGATAACTTTTATTGTAATTTAACTTTCTCCTTTGGTACGGGAATTATATTCGGACACGGTTGACTGGCCCTTGAACGGCGGAATAACATTTATATGGCAGACGTTTGTATACTCTTATCGCTGTATAAAAGTTAAATGTCTGAAGCATAGACCGTCATCGTCGAGGAAACGATTTTACACCGAAACTCGCACACCAACGCACCCGTACATGGTGTAATCGATGCATACATGTACACATAGGTGAAGTTTGACGAGTCAGTGATTTCAGTGTTGATTGATTCGATTGAACTTGATTAAAAAATAGTTAAAAAAAAAAAATACACTCGTGTTATTCAACAACCTTACGTTAGCGTAACGCTACGGGTTCCTGGTTCTTATACAGGGTGTTTCAGCATTTTTCCGCCGATAGCGATTTCGTACTGTTCAAAATACGGTTTAATACATTTGTATCAAATGCATTTTGTTTTGCAGTCAACGATTTTGTTTCATTTATCAATTTTGTTATGTTTTAATACTGGAGACGAAATCGTACCGTTTAGAGAGAATACAATTTGCGTTTAGATGAGCGCGATTATAGTATTACAATTTTCCAATTATTCAAAGTTTTCTCTAATAAGACAACGTCTAATGAATTATTTCGATTTTGGTATAATAAACTTTCGAGTAAAATTTTAATATTAATTTGTTATTTCTTTAGTTACCTTAAAATGAGTCAACCAACATTTTATGTTTATTCGAATGTTACCAAAAATTATAACCTTTTCAATATTACAAAAAATAAAAACTGCTTGTATTTTATCATTATTTACAATGTTGGTTTAATAATAAGTTTCATCGAAAATTAGTTGATTAAACTCACTAGCGTTCAAATAAGATTATTAAATATTTTGTAGCCATACAAAATGTAAGGTGGTATAAATCGGGATAAAATCGTACGAGTCCAGAAACCGTCACAACACTTATTTTAACGGTTTGATCCTGAACGCAAATAATTATTTCGCCGAAAGTTATTTTAAAGTGATGACCAAAGTTTTCAAATTATTTTAAAACACCTTCATCATCTACTCGTCGGGGACTAGATCGAATTCGTGGAACGGAACACGTATATTATTATAGTAGGATTGTTTACGATATAATAATCGAAAGCAAACAACTACAACGTTTCCGATTCGCGTAGCAGCTCGTACGAGTGCTTCACGCCACTGAATGCGGTTGGCATCCGCGTTACTGCGCATGCGCTAGAACTAGATTATCCGCGACTCGGCACCGTCAGCGCGTACGCAATCATTATCTCATATCACATAATCTCATCATAATTATCGTTATTATTTTATTATTTATAAAGTTTTGATTATATACCTAAGTAATGTGAGTAATTTGTTTGAAATTCATTACGGATCATGAATGAAGAAAGTTGGTGAATAACCGAATCACTGGGGACAAACAAAATAAATAGAGCTTGTCCATCAAAAATTGAAATCACGACTTTGGAATCTGACGGAGTCTCAACTATAATTATCATTATTATCTTATTATTTATATTAAATTTAAATAATAAAAGATTCCTCATAAGTTTTCCTACATTAAACTGGAAAGTGGAACAATTTTTCTAATAGCGTTCTAAAATGTAATACTGACACAACTCTAAATGTTGCTGTTTTACTCAACATTTCACACTCTAGTTAGATTTTATTTAGCGCAAAAACACCACAAATTGAAATAAGACAGTCTTGAATTTTCACCTTTTGAACTGAATGAATTAAAAAAGTGAACTACCATAAAATATATATGGCTTTCTTGCTTTGAAAATAATGATAATCATGATGAGATTATGTGATATGAGACAATGACGGTGCCGAGTCGCGGATAATCTGAAGTCCTAGCGCATGCGCAATAACGCGGATGTCAACCGCATTCAGTGGCGTGAAGCACTCGTCAGCTCGTCGACTGCAACTGCGACGCTGCTGCTCACCGTATATCTCGCTTATGGGGTCCACTACCACGGTAACGTCGTAACGAAAATACACTCGGGTGGAGTCGAAATTTTTTCAAAAAAAAAAAAAAAGAGGTTTACCGTTTCACGGTGCGAAATGGGATTCACGAGTATAAAGTGTATACGCGCACGCACATACACGCACAGACATATATATGTATTATATATATGAGGATAATGATATTTCGTGCTAGTGTCTATATGTGTACTCGCGTGTAAATACGATATAAGGAACAGATGAAGGGTATTACACCGTTAACGCGGTATCATTTCTTTTGTGCTGATCTAAACAGGGATATTTGGGAAGAAGACGCGTATGAAAGGTCGAAAGCACGTTGAACGGGGGGTGAAAAATAAATAATATGTATGTTTAATCAAATATTCACTGCGTTGAAATCACGGCTTTGGAAATCCACTGAGATTTTTCGGGCGCCTTACGCAAAGCGTGTTCATCGCCACCGTACCGAGTACGCTCGTTTATCCCGCGCAACTTACCTACACCCTTTGCGTGCACATATGCGTTTGCACGTGATCCGCGGAAGCCATACGTACGGAAATCACCGACTCCTGATCGTTTTCGTCCTGCACTCCACTTGTTCGGCTTTTTCATTGTTTCCGGTTACCGTACCGTTACCCGTTTACATTTACGCGAATAAACGTTTTCTGATCAGTATTCACTTTTGTCCGACACGTATATTTGTGTATGCTTTGTGTATATTTATCCGATTCGGGCGGAAAATGAAAAACCAGTGATGATGCGCTGAACGCGAACATAATAAACACTCCCGTGCGGGCGTAATGCGTGCATGCGATTCGTTTATTATGTGTGTTTTTTTAGATTTTTTTTTTTTTTATACACGTAATATTTATGTTTTGTTTCTACGTATTTCCGTAGCAGACTTCCTGGTTCGTTAATAGAAGTTTTTTTTCTTCTGTTTTTAACGGTTATCCGTTCATAAAAACGATCGTGGATCGGTCACCGAAGAGAATCCGGTCGAACATTGGTGAGTAATACGAAAAGGTGACTTCTGGAGCCCCGCTTAAGACTTTTGTCTCGACACCTTTACCGGACCGGATCGTGCAATATAACAGCAAGTGTGACATTTTTCCCACCGTATATTTATTATTTTTTCATCGTATATCGACAATTTGGCCTCGTGTGTGGTCAACGACGGCTGATGGTAAAAGTAATGGGCAACCACGAACAAGACCGTTCGGTTACGCGAAACGAGATGATGTTCAGTGCTCAATCGACATCTGGTACGATTCCGGCGGATTCGGTCCCGAAACACCGCGGACAACGGCCAACGTGAATCAGTAATTGGGGCCTACTGTTTTTATATACGTACTCGAGAACTGCTCGTAAATAATTTACGAGTCGATTTTTTAAATTCCACCTCTGCTAAAGCACCGATCCAGGCAGTTTATCTAGGTTCGCCTATACCTTGAGCCGATACTGGTCGTATCATGCCTCCGCTTCGATCAAATCGACTCTTATCCATATCTGTGTGGTGAGCATAGACACGTTCAGATTTCGGTGGTCGAGGGGACATAACAAATTTTTAAATCATGAGACTTATTTTTTTTTTTTTTTAGACATGAACAAATAATAATACATTTAAAACTCAAATAAAAACACATACGTTGTACTACTGTACTGTACTATACTAAAACTGTCGGTAGGTAATTATAATATAGATCGTATGACTTTTTTTCTCCTGACATGATTTTGTTAGAGGCACATTCCGCCGGGGTACCAGTGCTCATCCGGTCCCACCCATAAACACGCCTATGGTGGTGAACCACTATTGCAATGGTTTTCCTCACCGAAGTGATGCTGTACCATCGTTGGCAACCGTGCACCGCACCGTTACACCGTCAACCAGTCCGCGCTCGTTTTTTTCGAGCTTTTCGACCGTCGTTTCCGGGTCACGCAGAAAAGGCTTCTCTTCCGACCGTCTTTCGCGTCGCACGCTGAGACTTTCGTCATCACCCGCTTCTTGACCTACCACCAGCTTCGGATTCGCCCAACATGCACGGCTGGCGAGAACTTTTGAGGGCCCCGGGGTTTATCAGTTCCAGGCCCCCTTTACTTGCACCTGATAGCCAAGATATACATACTACTTTTACATAGGTACTTTTACGTACTCTAGTGCAATAAAAGTATTCAAATTTGCATCTTAACATATGCTATGGCGAATGAGATTATAAAATAATTTGGCATAAAAGGCTGATACGACGGACCCTGGGGTTCTAGCTCTCCTTGCCCCATAATCTGGTCGACCCTGCTGAAACGTCGAATGACCTTATTTTTGGACGTCGACCTTATTTTTGCCGACGCTGACCGCGAATGACCCGTTTTAAAGTCTTTTGTTCCTCGTATCCAACCGCATCAAGCGTGAAGGATTTGTTACTTTGCGCGCGCGTTTCGTTATTATTTATTTTACATTTCGTGTTGTTATAGTTACATCATTATTTTACAAGTCTCGACTGGATTGTTATAAATTGTTGGGAACTAGTCGCGTGACTCCTATATCGGCCTGCACTCGTTCGCCACACCTGCTAAACGATATCTATGTATTATCAATATTATCGTTATTGCTGTTGATAGTCCGACCCGATATAACCGCCATGCGACACATCCATATGTACAGTGTATATTATACACATTTACCCCGTTACCACCGCGTGTACGATTTTAGAAAGTATAACAGCTTTGTTTTTAAAATGTATAAATGTTATTAACCACAGTCAATGACTGTAGTGGTGTACATAGCGTGTAGCGTTTGGAATATGTGTGTGATGAACTATTAAATAATTACATAATGTCGATTTTGCCTTATTACTTACACTTAATTGATCATTAGTTTAATATAATGAGAATGATATTATTTTCTCTGTGTATGTATGATTTTCTGAAAATATAACACTTTGTTTTAATAATGCATAAATGCAATTAACTTATAATAAATTTACAGCTAATAATTTGGAAAGTATAAAACCTCAATTTCAAAATTCAAAATACACTAAATGACTAGAAAATTACATTATTTCTTAAGGTAATGTTGATGTCCCGCGTGGATATTCAAGACTGAAATGCATGAGTACGTTTCGGTAAACCTACAGCTGTGCGCGCGCGAGTATATGTGTGTGTGTGAGTGTTCATCAGATTCCGGTTGAAAATAAAATATTCAAAGTTTAGGTAAATGCACCTTACGTACCCACAGTTACGGATTATATTTAAACATTTCGGGTGAAAAATAAATTTAAACTATTTATGTTTGTTTTCAACTGTCGTTAAATATTTTTAATTACGTGTTACGGTATGACTGCGATAGTGTTGTTGTTAAATACTTTTTACAAATATGTTCGCAGTAAATGAATTTTTGTGAAAATATATTTCTTTTCATGAAAAAAAAAAACCTGAATTCTGTAATATTTTACTTAAAAAAAAAAATTAATAAATAATAATAATTATAATAATAAACAAAAATTCTCACCTAAATCCGACGGGTGTAATGATGTCATTAAAATTTTGTATAATATTTTTGATGGTGCTCCTAATATTTTATCAAGTACAAGTACCGTTTTCACGATGGTGAAATTAACAAAAACGTAAACGTTAAAACGTGTAAGGTAAATGTATAACATTTAACAACATGTCGTGTGGTACATTCAACGTTTAATTTTTTTATGTTTACAATTCCCTACCGTGGACGTTTGGTCTGAGACACTAAAAATCGAATTCATTTTATAGAAATATTAAAACGTAACGAATAGGTTCAGAAACATTTCATTCGTCTAGTCGAAATTCGATTCGAGAGATGGCTCGTTATGATCGAAAGCCCCTTTTTTCATAAATCATTGCCGTACTTGTCTGACACATTTTGAATTGAATATGTGTGGTTCGACGATGATAAGATGTATTAAGGTCAACCGAGCCCGTGAGCGTTCGCACGTTTTCCTCTACGACTGCTGGAACGCGCGTCAAGGACAAAGCGACAAGTTTTCCATCGTTCTGGCACCAACATCGATGTCCACGGAACCGTGATCCACCGCGATACACGTCAAGTCGGTTAGTCGATCGGTCGGCTGTTCGAAGTCGCTCGTCGAAAACCGAATTTTCACAAATTTTACCAACAATTGCACTATTTCCCGTCCTATCCGGGGACGACGTACAGAAAACGGTGCGAGACAACACGATAAGGATCGTCAATTGTCGCCGTTAAATTTTTAATATATTTTTTTTTTTTTAATTTTTCGACGCACGACCGTTGGAAACCCGATGACGTGCGTGACGTTTTCCTCGCTTACTGCCTTGGACACGTTGAAGTTTCGCAAGATAAATGCGATCGCGTCCCTCCTATACACTTCCCTTCCCCATCATCCCCACCCAGAACTATCGAATTTCTGCGGTAGACCGAACCACGATTAAAATTTTTAAATAATGAAAATCATAAATATTGAACGCAGGAAATGGCTTTTCTATACATAGAATTAAACTATTAGGTACCGATGAACATAATTATGTATTAGGTACCAAAAGTATACAAAATTCTGAAATAAATACAATATTTTGATTTATTAATACAGATAGGTAGGTATTGCACGTTTTTCTTAAGTTATCAAATAAAAATAACATGGTAATTAAGAATGTAGTTAATTTTATACCCTGAATACTTTTTCATACTTTTTATTGCTATATAAATTTAATTAGGTTATTTTTCTTGAAGAATTCTGGTTAAATTTTACTATATTTCTAATTTCTAATTATAATAAATAGTTATGTAATATGCATCATCAATAATAATTAATAGGAAACGGATTTGAATGCAAATTGCATTTTTTTTCTGAATGTCCAAAAAAAAAAAACAAGGTTTCCAAGCAAACAGTTCATTTTATACCTATGACGATAGTTGACGTGGAACGAAGTTTCTCGAGATACAAAACAATACTGGCCGATAACCGTCGAAGATTTCTGTTTGACAATATTAAGCAGCACCTGATTATACAATGCTATGAAACAAAAGGTAAAAGTATAACGAATATACCTATCTAAATGGTATACCTATTCATTTTTTTATTTTTTAGGGTAAAAAGAAGATGGTATGATATATATCAAGATAATTAAAAGTTAATTAATTAAGGTTGTATTGTATTTAAATATTTTTTATTTTTTATTAGATTTTTCATAATTATATGTTTTTTATAAGTTTTAAATTCAAAATTTTGTTTTTATTGAATATAAGCCCATTTTTAAAGTTTTTTAGGGTATTTTTTTAGTGCATTTTTTTGATGTTAAAGCATTTTTTTAAGGCATTAAATCGTATTTCTTTAAGGCATTTTTCTTGTTTTTTAGAGCATTTAAATCCGTTCCCTAATAATTATACTATATTTTTTATTTAATTATTTATGGATTAACTTAACTTGAATTTGATTAAAAGTAACTCATTATTTATTAATTTGATATCAATAATAATAAGTCAAGTTAAAAAGTTAAAATTATCTTAACTTTTAACTTAACTTTAAATCGTTGACTAGTTTATGCCCAGGCTAGCCGAAACCCAAATGTTCGCGTCGGCCGGACGTCGGATTATCGGATGAGCACCACGCCGTACAGTCGTCGGCCTAACCGCGGCGGGAACGGGAACACGTCTCGCATCCCGCAGCCGCCGCCGACGATTTGCCGACTTCTTCCCGTCGCAGTCGTACCCACTCGCGTCGCATCGACCCCGCACGATTTGCGACCCGGATAATGTCTTTGAAAATTGGATACCCGCGTTGCTTTGGTCGTCGGGCCCGCCGACGTGTTTCACTAGAACGCTACACGCTCGTGTTTTCCTCGGGACTGAAAATGATTTTAAGAAAAACAATTTTCAACCATAACCGTGGTCAAAAGTCGATCGTCAACAGTATCCCGTGGTCACGTCGGAATGTGATCTAAATAAAATCCGGCGATCGACTTGTGTACACCGCTACCTTTCATCTCGGGGTTCGGCACCCGACCCAGACGCACGGACGCGCACGGGCAAAAATTGTTTTTCGCGCGACATTTCGCTCTTTACCGTCCTTACGTTCGTAGCGTTGACGATTACAGTACCTACGCGTATTACAATACGTTTTTCTCGGTTTCGCGGCAACGAACGACGAACGCGCATGTACAAAGCGACTTCGCGATGACGGTGCGCGAGATTAAAACGTTTTCAGTGAATAGAGCACGATTTCCATGGAAACACCGGCGCACGACGTCGGTATTTAGCGCTCTAGGGATGACGTTGCGGTGGAATCCGCAACGTGAAACAGCTGCAGCCACGTTGGTCGGTACCAACAAGACGAAAACGGGAAATAAAAGCGTACATTTGCATACACGTATATGCGACACGATTTCGGACGAGAAAGAAGAGGAGGAGGAGGAGGAGGAGGAAGAGAAGGAGAAAGAGGAGAAAATGAGTCGTGAAAAGTAACGTGCCATCGTGCGATACGGTGCTAACGGGTTTGGCGTGCGTATGCGTGTTGAGAAAAATTTGCGGTAAAACGCGCACAGCAGGTAATG